TTTAATGACATGACTCCGGATCACATTAAGGCCCGATTGATGCATATGCACATCCACTGATCTGAAAACAGGTTTTATTTGGTTTCAATGTAGAGTATTTATTTATGCTGTGTAATAACTGTAAAAAATAAAGATAACTACTTCATGGATTTCGCATATCACAGGTTATTTTCGGAACGCAACCCCTAAGAAAAACAAGGGTTCGCTGTAAATGTAGTGTTTACTTAATTTTTTTTCTACAACAGGAGGAGTTGTCAAAAAAACATGACAGGCTAAATTTCAAAATGTAGTAAAAACTTTTTTAAAATAAAAATATGTGGGGGAAAAAACAGTCCACAAGGATCCTCTTTCCAAACACATTCACTTAATTTTTCACTTTACGGTACATGTTCACATTTTTATTGACTGTATATCAAATCTATTTTAAATTTACCTGAAGATATGACATAATACGATACATAATATTCAATAGAATACAAAGGCTTAAATCTTATTGTATGGACTAGGTCATCAAATCACTACGTTGCCTGTAGGAATTTTTAATGTCCAGCAGGTTTTAGTATTCAGTGACATAGTATCGAGACAGAATCGACACAGTTTTGCTATGGGTCGAAACAATACATGACGCCTCATCTACCCATCACTATGAAAAAGGTTCCAAAACAGGACAAACATGGAGACTCACTAGACAAAGAAACTGAAAATAAACACACAGAAAAACTCAAATCCCAACAATATTCCTGAGCTGTTTGCTGTTTTCCTTGTTTTTCTAGATACTAGTTGTTCTGAATGATGATTGAGTGCAAATGTGCCAATCTTCTGGTTTTAATTTGTAAACCATTATTGAAAACCATGGATCTTGTTCTCTACATGTCACAAGTATATGAACTCTCAATGAAATATAATTAGGCTTGTGGTCATAGGGTTTAAGAAGTACAGGTATATGAATACTTTACAGGCAGCGTGTGTCTGGTCTGATTTTCAACCTGCTGTTTGAGGAAAAGTAAACAAGGGGCAGAAATGCCTCATGCAGTTTAGGTACTCAGCTGGAATTGAATTGAGAACAAGTGAAAATGTTTTTTTCTTTTCTCCAGACCCACTCTCTATGTTGGAAAACTTGACTCTCACCTTTATGCTTCAGCTTCACTCGTCCATCGTGGAGTGTCATTAGTGGTGAGTGCAGTACATAATGCTACACTTCCTGCTAACAAAAGTCCCTACTAACACTATATTACGATTAAACAGCAGATCAGATCAGGTACGAGACGATGAGCAACTGATAAGGCTAGAGATAGGGTGACTGTTCTATGCTTTCTGTTACCATGGCAGCCTCGGGGACTAATGCTGGCTCGGATCGATGGTCCAATGACCACGGAGGTGACGGTCAGTCAGAGAGGGGAATGTGAGATCACTCCTTCCACTAATGTCCAATATCCACCAGGGAGCACAAACAGCCAGAAGAACCACTGGCTGCTAATAGGTAAAGGCAGCTTATCAATATTCACATTAGGCTTACTATGTTGATGAAAGTGAATTATTTTGTATTTAAGACCTTTTTAATGCCTGGAGAACTTAAGCCTGAATCTTTAGATTAAAAATAGCAGATCACTCAAGACTTTTGCACACTACTGTATGATCTTTAACACTACAGGCCACCATGAGGTCCCTCCATTAGCCCACACCACCATGCTGAGGGATTTTCCTGCCAATCTGCAGCATTCTGGTGAGCCAGTCATCCCACCTCGAACCTCTGCCTCTCCCTTCTCCTCTGCTTCCTTCTACCACCAGCGCTATGTAAGTCCACACACAGTACAGCTATATCTGAAACCATATATTTACACACACTAAATAAAAATACACAAACACATTTTTTCCTCACTGTCTGAAGTTAAAACAGACCAAACTTTTCTTGTTTTAACACATGCCTCTTTTCCACCGGCTCTACTTTAGCAGCCCGGCTCGGCTTTACTTCAGAGTGAACGTGTTTCCACTGGCTGGCTTGGTTCTGTAGCAGGGTGACGCCTCCTGGCGGTGGGGTTATAGCGCCCCGCCTCCAGGCGCTATGGGCTATGCTTCGTTAACATGCGACCTAAAGCGAGTTGTTGTTTTTCTGAGACAAAAGTAGAAGAGAGAGCTGAGCTATTTCTTCATAGCCTGATTGTGATTAAGCTAACGATAATTTTTGTATTAAACTACTATAAAACTTGTAATACAGTGCCGAATATGCATGCGCTATTGTTAGCCAGGGTGTTGCAAATAACTTAAAAGTGTCCGAATTGCGTGTTGGCGCCGCATGTTCATAATATATTCCAATGTGTTTTTAGATGTTGGTAAACTGCCACTGCAGACCATCAGTGTGGTTCTTCCTGCAGCATCTGAGCTGTAGGATCTCATCAGTGTCCGTCTTCCTGACTGCTGGTCAGTGTTTACCTTAAGGATGTCCAGACACCTTCACGTTTCTGAAGCAGGGATCACATGAGCTCAGTGTGCTGATGAAATATTTCTAATTTTAAAAAAATGTGGCTGATGTTCTTAGAGCTGACGTGCATTAACAATCTGTTGTTTTTAACTTCTCAGTACGTTTAATTATGATTCATCTGATGTCCAAGTTATACTGAGAACAAATAAAGCCGTATTCCTTCTAATCTGACTGGTTATAGATTTAATCAAACCTTCCATGCTTTCACATTTTGGTCACTAAGAATTAATCAGGGGCTTAAAAGTGTAAACTTAGGGTCTTATTTATCACTAATTAAGTTTGGACATTTTCTCACTTTCTTATATTGAAGATTCTCCAGGCAGACAGCTAAACAGTGAGTGGATAGAATGAAGTTGTACAAAGTAGAAATTAACAAACATGATTTGTATTTTGGGTTCTTGTTAATAGCAACCCTGATAATGTCAAAATGTTTGGTTTGCTGAATAATGTATTTACGTTTGGATACCTTCATTGGAAATCTACAATGTTAAGTGAAAATTGAAATATTTATATAATAAAATGTTATTTTCACTCTAACGCTCCTCACATCTTTTGGGAGGATTGTATTAGGACCTTGATGCCATACAAACTACAGTATGTACAATAATGTGTGGCATGGGTATAAAAAAGAGATTTTGTTCACTGAGAGCACAACAGCATTTATTTTTCTTCTTTTGTTTGCCTCAATTCTTCTTGTTGTTGCTCTGCCATCTCTGCTGGTAGCTGCTTCATCCTGAAGGAGATCCAGTTGCTATTCTGCCGGTTCTCCTCATCGTTCACCATCATGTCAGCCATGATCATCTTCTTCTGGTCCCTGGGAAAAGTAATCAGATATTATAGCTTATAGTAGATAAATGACAGAGTTACGAATGTGGAAATACATACACAGAAGGAATTATTTAAAACAGACATTTTACTTTAAACACTTTTTTTTTTTACCATCCAAACATAAATAATTATAAATAACTGGAATAGTTGTGTAAATTAATGACAAAGGTAATTACTTGCAAGTTTTAGACCTATGCAGAGACATATAGACATGGATAAAATACCACTTATTTTCTTCAGGTTTATTGTTCATTTTTATGTCCTGTACAATTAATAGTTCATAACCATTTAATTAGAGAACTGACATCTAGCCATTTTACAATAATAGAATATCATATAACATGTTTTATTATCTCACAACGGGGGAAACTCTGGTGCTACAACAGCAAAAGGAGAAACAATTGAAGCATGTAGATTCATGCAAAGATAAAATATAAAAAAACAAACAAATGAAGGGCAACATGCTTTGCAATATTGACAGTTATAAACAGTGCACTCCGATCCCAAGGAATATGCAATTGAGTATCTTCAGAAAATGCGCATGTTGTGTTTGAGCAATAAAAATACAGCAGACTTTGTTTTTCAAATGTCTTCTATGACTGTATTTAGGCAACCTTAAATATAGTAAAAACCAGACAGATATATCTACAAACTGCTCACTTGGCTGGAGAGCAGCAGCAGCGTTAGCATGCATTAGTTAGAGTTACCTAAATTATTCCTATTTGCTGGAAAACTTAGTGAGAACATTTTTTAGAGATTAAAAGATTTGACCCCAGTCAGTTTGACCGACTTGGTCAGTACCTTTGGTTACTGACCAAAGGTATGCAAACTTTTGAATTTGAGAAAAGTTAAAAAAAAAAATTCTAAAAAAACTGAAATAATTCTAACTAAACTAAAGCAAGAAAAGTTTGGTCAGATTTAACTTCAGATAGTGAGGAAAAAAATATTTTTGTGTCTTTTATTTGGTGTGTGTAAAAATCTGGTTTTATCTGCATATGTACTTTGGAGAAGTCCTATTACTTAAAAAAAAAAGATTAAAATCTATCCTCATCATGTATCTGCTGTCTTTGTGTTTTAGTTTCAAGCTGTCTCTGGCAGCCACAGTGACCAGAACACCAAGAAGGAAGGGGTCAGTGAGGAGACCACTGGGCAGACCCAGAAACCTGCCACTGTACTGCCGATCTACCTGACCCAGGACCGTCTGACGCTGGCTGTTCTGACCATTCTGGTTGGAGGATGGCTCTCCTTTGTGATCACTTTTCCTTTTGTGAGTTCATCTGTGAAGGTCTGCATTTGTTTACAAGTCTTGAAAGATGCATGTTTGTTGGTTACATGCTACTCTGGTGAAAAATGAGTGCCAAAGAGAACAGACTGTGGTGCTTCTCCATAAGAGGCTTGCTTTTGTTTATCTAGGGTTTTTAATTTAACACAACCTAATTGACTGTTATAAGAGGATCATTTAAAATTGCAGTTCCACTAAGAAGTTTAAGTACACTCATTATCGGTCCAACTATTGTATTTGCTTTCATCAATCAATCAAGTTCATTTTTATAGCACTTTTCAGCAATAAGGCAGCTCAGAGTGCTTTACATCAATAAGAATAAAATACAAAGTTATAGAACACACAGTCAACAATTGTCAAGTGCCATTGTTACACATCAGAATGTTGATTAATTAGGCCCGAGCAGCGAAGCGCTACGAAAGCCTATTGTTTTCATACCGTTTCTTATTATTATGCTTCTGCCCCCCTAAAGAGGGGGCTTTTTGGGGGCTTTATCATATTCAAAAACTCACCAAATTTGGCAGACGTGTCAGGACTGTGAAAAATTTACATATTTTAAGGTTGTTGCAATAATCGCACAAGCCATGCTTTAGCCCAGAATTATGAAACTTGGTACACATGTGTATCTTGTCAGGACCTACAAAAAAGTCTCCTGGAGCCATTGTCCA